CAAATATCAGCTGGATTTTCAGTCCAGACTTCAGTGTGTTACCTTCCATATGCAATGATATGCTGCTCAGTCTGTAGACAGGGCTCCCTATGCCAAGACAGCTGAAACAAAGTAGGCTGCTGATTTCAAGACTCCTGTAAGATCATAGGTATATCCTCAGCAAGTGTAATACAGGGCAGGAGAGAAAGGAAGGGCTGCCCCATTTGGAAAGGCAAGGTTTGTTCAGTAATACCTTTTATTGGACTAACTACCATACCTAGTCCAATATATGCATCTTGTGTATCCCTTGGACCATCACGGCCACAGCAACTCTAGAGCCCTGCTATTTGGAGAAGGCATACTCTGGCTGAGAAAGCACATACAGGCATCTCATCTGTCCTGTTCGGAAGGAGGTGGCTAGCATTAGAGCGATCGGGATCATGTGGTAGCTGGGGAAGCAAACACAATTTTCAGTACAGCCAAGTGTATGTTAAGACACCTAGGGACAAACAAATGCATGCCATATGTGCAGGACAGGAGATTCAAAGTCCTTGCTGCTTAGGGTAGAAAGAGATGCATGAGTCATAGTGGAAAAGTCAACTGAACAGCAGCTTGCACTGCTGCATTACAGCCAAAAGGCCTAATGAAAGCCTTACTTGCATGAACAAAGGAAAGTCAAGCAGGAAGAGTCTGCGTTCAGCCCTGATGCAAACCCTACTGGAATAACTGTGTCCCGTTCTGGCGGGCACACCCCATGAACAACACTGAAAATTGGAGAAGGTTTAAGAGTAAGTAAGGACTAGTTAAGGACCTCAGTCTATAGTATATTTGAGTCTCTTGCCCTTTAGTTCAAAGAGGTTAACTGCTGATTTGACCACAACTATCTACATGGGAAGCTGTGATGGCCCAGGAAATACATGAGGTGAGGGTTTTATAATATCTTTTAACTGGAGTGACTGTAGAGTTGGGAGAGACGTTGGACAAGCTTCTGGGCATAAAAAATGTCCTCCCCCATCAGGACTGCCCAATAGCTTGCCCAACTATACAGCTGGTCCAGTAAAAGATATCACAACAACAAGCACCCATTGCTTCTCATACGCCAGAAGAGAAGCTTCATACTAGTGGGTGCCTTCAGATGTGCATATGAAAATGGGAGGCTGAAGCTCGACCGTTTCAGATTAGAATCTGCGAGTGAATTTTTCCCCGTGAGAGTAATTAACCACGGGAACGACTGACAAGTTCTCTGGTGGATTCTCTACCACCAGCCATTTTTTAAACAGGACTTCATGTTTTAGAAAAATAGATGTGCTAATGTTCAGCTACATCTAGACCTGAAGTAGAAATTAATTCTAGCAGTCCCACGGCCCACGTACACTTGAAGCCAGTCTAAGCAAGCCTCGGGCTTCGGGACCTACGTCATTCGCGGATTTCACGGAAACGGCGAAATCCAGGATTATCTGCAAAATCAAAAGAAATAAATAAAATGCTGGCTCCCCGGTGCCAGCCAAAGGTCCTCGCTGCTGGGAGGGGAAGGCACTGGCTGGTGGGGAGGGCAGCAGATGAGACAGCAGCTGCCCCTCATGCCCCCACCAGGGCCTCTGCCGATCGGCACCGCGGGACAGCGCCGCACCAAGCAAGACACGGCTGCCCCCTCGTCCCTCCTCCCCACGCGGCGCCTCTCCACCAGTCAGCGCCAAGGGAAGCGGAGCACGGGGCTGGAACTGCGCTGTGATCAACCGACAACAATGGGGGAAGCCCCCTGCGGCCCTACGTACAGCCCCCGTCCGCCCATCTGATCCGCACGTCAAGTGTCCCAAGCAGAGCAAGTCAGTGCAGGTAAAGGCAGCGCGGCAACAGAGCTGGCGTAAGAAACTGCTTTTACCACACAGTCAAGATTCAACATTACCACTCACTGGCATAGCCACAAGAGTCCAGGAAAGAAGTGCTGCTTTTTTTTTGTTGCCCTTCACTTACAGTATTTCAGCTATTTCTTAGTCACAGGAATGCATCTATCCCTGGGGTATAGCCAAAAGCCATTTAAGACTGGCCCAGAGATTACAGCTCAATAAAAAGGGGAGGGATATTATGGGCAAGAATACCCCTTTTCCTTTGGGAAGGGACACGGCATCGTTTAAAAATACCCGCTCGTCGCGGTCCCGCAAGATCCTCGTGCAGCGAAACCGAGTCAGTAACTTAAAAATGAAAGTCTGGGCCGAGCCGCCTGGGACTCGGCCGCGCAGCGCCGGGCTCGTGTTTCAGCTGCATGCCTGGCCGCCGAGCCAATCACTCCCCGAGCGAGACTGCTCTCAGCCGCCTGCGCCATGACCAAGTTTCGAAATAACTAATGTTTGACGGGTAGGAAGAAAATACAACTCGAAGTACAGAAGCAGGCTGCAGCTGAGGCCCAGGGCGCCCACGCCCGCTCCGGAAAGCTGCAGGTGCTCGACCCCGGCGAGCCAGGCCCTGCGAGGCTGAAGTGCATTTAGGCCTCAAGAACATCCCGTGCAGAGCTGATGTTTTGCAAATGTCTAACGAGAGACACAGCGGGCAGGGAGCCCGACCCCACCCTGCTCCCGTGCCCAGCAGCTAGGCCCGGCCCGGGGGGCGCCGGCCCCGC